TTTCTCCCAAAATTCCAATATTCCCACAGTTTTAAGAATAACCCAGGTAAAACAAAATAATAAATTTATTAGAATTTTTTCCTCCAAGTAAAACAAAATAATTAATTTATTATAATTTTTTCTCCCGATATTCCCTCCTATTCAGTTTTAAGTATATTTAAATATAGCTCAGGCAAGATAAATAATAAATTTATTACTTTTCAATAATTTCTACCCAGTGATATCGTACCGACGAGTTCAAAAAGAAAACGACGAATTATTGTATACGGGTTCGGTCACTCGTTACGGTCCGCAATCGATTGCCACAGCACGCCGAGAATTTTTTCTCCCAAAATTGCAATATTCCCTCCTATTCAGTTTTAAGTATATTTAAATATAACCCAGGCAAGATAGATAATAAATTTATTATTTTTCAATAATTTCTACCCAGTGAGAGAGAGAGAGAGAGAGAGAGAGAGATATCGTATCGACGAGTTCAAAAAGAAAGCGACGAATTATTGAATACGGGTTTGGGTCACTCGTTAGGGTCCGCAATCGGTCGCAAGCGCAAGTGGTTGTGTCCCGTGGTGGCATTTGAAAATTTCGCGAGCCACCGAAAGAAGAGAGAAAAGCAAAGACGATCAAACTACGCGTTCGAATTAGTTGCTCGCTATTGTCTAACGTCGGCCGATACGTAGCGGCGGAGGGAACCGTCGCTTCGACGTATCGACCGACTCGTGCCTCGATAATTCCATCAAAAAGTTGCCTCGCGACACTGCCGCTGCCGCTGTTGCTTTTCACGCTGTGCTATTCAACTACTGTTAAACTGAAAAGTTTCTCATGCGTTATCGTGCAGGGACATCGTATCAGGAGGAAAAAAGAAAAGGAAAAAAAAAAAAAAAAAGGAAAGAGGAGACAAAGAGGGAGAGAAGAGGAGGTAGATTGAATTGTCGAGGGATCCGATTGACCCACGTGTGTGCACGTGGCGTCGCTCGCCGGAAGCCCGGTTTCCCCCGGCGAGCACAGCTGGCCAACTCGAACGAACTCCAGCGAACTCCGAGCTTCCAGCACCAAGTTTGCGCGAACGTGTTTCGATTTCGCGATATTTCCCGTGCGGTGGAAAGAATCGACTCGAGCAACGCGTCCCGATTGAAGTAGGGATGGGGTCGAGTACCTCGCGAGTGGCTCGAACGTTCCGCGAATACTTGCGGAATTCACGAAACTTTGACATCGAACTCGAATATTTTGCTTTTTTCACAAGTACTTGAGTAGTACCATCTCGTATTCAGATAATCAGGTATCTTACCGAGATAAGTGAAGTTAGATTTATTACTGCTCGAGGTTAGAGGTTAGAGTTGCTACTACGTGTTACTCGGACGCTCGATGTCTTTGTGACAGATTAATCAAACAAATTATAATTTATGTCCGCTAGAATGGCGGAGAATTGGAGAAAGAAAAATATTCAAGATTGGCGAAATTTATTGAAAAATATTTACGCGCACCGGCGACATCTGGAAGAGTGTTTCCCGCAACTGGAAATAGTGTTGGTTCAAGACTTGAACGAACTTTATTTGGTTGGAAAATCTAGACTTGTTAATATGTATTTTCGAACTGACAAAGACTAATTTCTAAGTCAAAATAATTATTTCATTCGTTTATTACTAATAAAATGTTGCTAAAATTATATTAAAATAATAAATTAAAATAATAAATTATATTACAGACATCCGAGTAATACGAATAGAAATGATAAATATGTCTTAATGTAGCCGAGTATTTCATTAGATAATAGAATTATTACTATTCTCACACAACTCTATATAATTTTATCCGATTATCTTTGCGACAAATAATAAAATAGTATTTACGTCCACTGGAATGGCGGAGAAAGAAAAATATCGGAGATTGACAAAACTCGCTGAAAAATATTTACATACACCAGCGATATTTCCCAGCTCTGGAAAAATGTTTTCCACAACTGGAAATATTTTGGTTCAAGGCGAACGAGTCTACCACTAGAAAATCTGAGCTTTTAATATACTATATTTCTGTAGGACAAAGATAAATACTAATTTCTTCGATAATTCAAAATAATTATTTCACTGTTTTATTATTTACTGCTGAAACGTGATTCATAATTGAGAATATCTATCACTGGAAAATCTAGACCTGTTCATATCTCATGTACAAAGATAAAGATTATAATTTCTAATTCAAAGCAATTATTTCATTGTTCTACTACTTATTGATGAAACGTAAATTACGTCCGGAGTGACCACGTAACCGGAAAAAATATAGACTCGTTGATATTTCTCCACAAAGACGTCATTTGCACAAAGATGATAATTGGAAATAGTGATTTCGTTGTTTTCATTGTTTGTGACTGAAATGAAAATTACAACGTAGACACGTTCGTAGCGACGCGAGGTAGAAATAATATGTATGACAGATATGCAAGTCTGGTCAATCTCGTGTGCACCCACGGGTGTGTTGCAAGTAATCTGGCCCCGACCACGGAGAAAAATCTTGCAACGTCTATTTTTACACGGAACGACTGGAAATAGTCGAGTTTAATGAAAGGAGGCACGCGATCGCCCGTACGTTGCTCCAGTCATGAATCACGCTTCGAACGTGCACTGGCAACTGGCAACAAGTAGAGAGAGAGAGAGAAAGATCCCCCCATAATGTTCGTATAATTGATCGTACCCAACACCACGATGTAATTTCACTACCGGGCACAGGCCACCGCGCATTCGCCAGCCAGAACGAGCACGGATACATATACACAGCGGCAGAGACGGGGTTATTTCAGTCAGTCAAGTTTCAACGTCTTAAAATTCAATCTTCAACTTCGCGCCGGATAATCGAACTTTTCTCCTTTCCCGGAACGAACGGAACTTGTATATCCACGTTGGGGAACTTTCGCCATTTATCACGCCTCGTAACGAGCGAAATTGCGCCGCCTTCTTGAGCGTAAATCGGTTCGAGAAGATTGTTCGTGATCGGACTTTTTTTTTGGAATTACGAGCAAGACTGCGAGCGCACACGTGGAATTTCAACAATACTTTACCGTAGTATTTGCGTGTAGAATAATAAAAAACGGAAAACAAAATACGTAGGATATTTCGGTCTTTCCAAAAAAAATTCTATCATCGCTATTCTGACAGATACGAACGCTGCTTTCCTGGAATCGGTTTTCGACCGCAATTTAAACGAAAGATTCCCGATATTTTAAATTTTGTTACAGCTTCGTAAAAGTCTATTTTCGTCACATTTTATAAAGCGTAAAGCTTCTGTTCTGAATTCGTTTTTCTTTCTCTTTTTCTTCAAAACATTTTTACGTCATGTAGCAAATGGAAAAAAGTGTTATTTTTTTTTTTTTTGAAAAAGAGATTGTAAAAATTCACACGCATGCACAAAGGATGAAAACTTTTATTTCACCAGTAAATCCGTAGTGGCGTTGAAGATTAAAGTTCGCCTCTACATCGATCCATGAAAATTTACTGTACAATTCTTTTTTGCCCATCGTTTTATTGAACTTTGAATATTAGAGTTAGATAACAAGAGTTCAAAAAATTCCAACGACACGTTGGAAATCTAATCCTAATGTTCAAGGTGCAATGTAACGGTGAGAAAGAAATCATACAACGAGTTGCAAGGGTGAGAAGCCTTGGATTTTCAAAATGACGATGAATCTAATTAAAATTTTTTAATGTAATATAATTTTCACGCATGTTTGAATTTTGAGAAAAATGTATCCTCACTTTCCCTTCAGTCGTTGTATTATGCAAAAAAACAAATTTGCGACTGTCGAGGTAAAAGACTTCACGCTTTAAAACAGAGCCGGCTAACTGGCGGCCCGTTGCCCCTACTCTCCTGATCGCTAGCGCTACCCCCTCCACTCATTGAACTTTCGATGCGGTGGAGGGGGTAGCGCTAGCGATCAGAAGAGTGGGGGCAACGGGCCGCCAGTTAGCCGACTCTGTTTTAAAACGAGACCAAGTGGATCGTAATACGATCTCTTTTTGCAAAGTTGCATCACTTTCAATTGTCGACGATTTTTCAGTGTCACGCTCTTCTCGTCGATGACTATATACGAATATATTGAACTCGAATCAATAATGATCACCGGCAACGGAAATAATTTTCTCGCCAATTGCAATCAGAAGCAATCGTTTAATTTTTCAATTATCGCAATTATCGTTTTAAAAACATGTTCTCTACTTCATCTTGGAATTAATATTCTCGACATAAGTGACAAACGAGCTTCGATCATCCCCTTTCACAATATAAAAATATTCGCGACAACTGGTGTCCGCGGTGGTAAACACCGATTTACGAGCTTCGCCAACTTGAACGTTCGGAGTACAACTTGTACACACACGCATACACACACGCACACAGGTGAAGGAAAAACCAAACGACAAAGTGGGTGCGGGTGTGTCTGTACATACAGAAACATACATACGTTCGTGTACGTGTGTACAGAAAAAAAGGGGATATAAAGATGAAAGAACAAAGAAAAAAAGAAACAGAAAAAAAAGAAAAACAAAACTAGATCTGACACGATTTTGTTAGATGACCAATATACCTTAAGGTCGATCGAGTGGATAGCTGCGTTGTGCGACGATGCGTGCTCTTTCGCGTCATTGCCGCAATTCGCGTTGTTGTTAACATTCGGCAGCGAGCCACCCGCCCTGAACTGATTTCCCAGGTTAATGTGCAGGTGTTTGCCGCTGGACTGCGGTGGACTGGCGCCGGCACTCTTCACCGACAGCGGGGTCTCCAGTACCCCGGATGATCCCGTGGGGCTGGCGCACACCGAACTGCTCGCCGAGGCGACCTAAGCACGTCCATCGTTCATACGGTCACCAAAACGTTGTTCGTTTCCTTCACACGGACAGACTGTCGCCTCTTGCCAGCCATGCCTAACGCTTTCTCCTTTCATTCTTTCATTCTCTCTTTTCTCTAAATTTTTTTCTTTTCTTTTTTTTCTAGTTTCGAAACAATCGTTACTAAGGCTTACTCTCTCCGATCTAAGACTGCAGACACGCGCGAGTAACACTCGAAAAAGGGGAAGAAAATACGCGTACTCGTGCGTGTGTTCAGACTTCTTGAAATCATTTTCGAGTCTCGCTCGCTTGCTCAGCTTTCGACGAGAGACGCTCGATCCGGCAAGATGGAACGAGCGTGTAAAAAACGACCGGATTCCTTCAAACATCGATCATCGTCCGCAAACATAATTCCGACGTTTGCTGAGAATTGGGCGCAAACCTCCTACGATTCAGAAGAAAATATCTACCCAGCCGCTCGACCGGTGAATCGCGTTGCCACCAAGATTGCGAGATTCGAGAGTCGGAAGTCAATAACATTGGAAAGCTCCAACAGTTTGGTTACGTTGGAAACGAGGCGTTCTCAAGCCGAATTTTCATCCGAATCTCATACAAATGAAACTTTCGACCGATGCATTCCTCGTCCGACCACGCACGATTCGATAAACAGCCACTCCTTTCTCTCTCTCTCTTTCTCTCTGCTCTGCCTTTCTTTCCGTGATTTCATCACCGTTTGAATTCCACCTTTAGATTGTTGTGTTCTCTCAGCCGAAACCGGGACCGAAAAATTCGAACGATTCCCGTAGGGGAACTTTCCAGGCGATGCAGCACAAATAGACATTTCTGTCCATTTTTACGAGAGGCTAAACCACGAAGAAGCATCTGAAGTTACGGCGAAGAGCGTAACTGTGACAATCACAATGAAAAATTGTCGATACGATCTCGTAAGATACATTTGGTTTCATTTTGAAGCGTGAGGCGACAGTTGTGAATTCCACTTATCTTTTTTTTTTTTTTTTTTATATCGTGAGAAAATGAGGATACTTGTTTTTAAGAAAAACTCGAAACGTAAAAGTTTTTTGTAAAGAAGTATCTAGTACTTATTGAAAATTGAAGATTGAAATTTTTTTTCTTTACAACGAACACTTGAAACTCGCCTCTGAATACGATTCTTTGTTACCACCTTCGAAACATTGGAATTTTTATCATTTTCTCGTACGGTCTTGGAGATCGAAACAGTCTTTTTAGAATAAATCCTTAAAATTCACCGTATGATTTTCTTTTTATACCATTTTATTGAACTTGAAACATTAGAGTTAAATGCTAGAATTTTTCTTCAATTTTTGTCATTTAAAAATTTTCTCGTAGATTAAAACGATCTCTTTACAACGAACCTTCAAAATTCGCTGTACGATTCTTTTTTTTTTTTTTTTTTCACTTTATTGAACTTGGAACATTAGGGATAAATTTCTAATCATTTTTGTCACTTAACTTTAATATTCAAAGTTCAATAAAGCAAAAAAAAAAAAAAAAATCGTGCAACAAGTTTCAAAAGATCGCTGTAAAGGGGAGATTTCGGTCTTTAAAATGACGGTGGATTTAATTACGAAAAAAATTTTTTAACATTTCTATATATGTTTGAATGCTGACAATTTTCGAGAAGAAAGTATCTCCATCGAGTCAATTGTTAATACTTTTTATACAATTTAATATACAGACATATAATTATCGACAATTTTTCATTGACACAGTCACGTTTTATATTCGAATCCTGAAAAATCTACTAAACCCACGGTCGACTGTGACAGCGCTGCTTGTTAAGGAAGCCTGTTTCCACGCGGTTCGTAAACAAACGACGACGGAAAATACGTACACCTATACGGCGATAAAATTAAACGAGGGAAAATCAAACGGACAACGATAAAAGTGCACTCACAACCAGTCCCCTACGTTTCACGATAGGATAGGATTACGTAATCGGCTGCGGTGAAAGTATCGCTCTTTTTTTCTTCTACGAGTACAACCTGTTTCGCATTCGATCGGTCAGATGAGACGGAGCGTTAGAAATTACACGTCAGTCGCCTTTCGTATCTCCGATCCCGAGGAAAATTGCACAACTATCACGTGGCTGCACAACTCGGTGTGTACCAAATTTCGTGCACGATAAAAGTGAATTCTAAAAAAGTTTGTCTTGCACTCTGAACTGAAAGCGTTTTCTGCTCCTTTCTTACTTTTCTATACTTTTGTAAAGTTATGTTTTGTACATTTTGCGCTTGTATATCTTCGTTATTTTGTATATTTTATAAAGTTATTCTTTTTTCTTTTTATTGCTATGTAGTATATTTTCCAGTATCAACTAGATTTGTTGTTAATAACGAGCTCTCGACAAACTAAAACCTATATGTAATTTTGCGTGTTTCACACATTTCTACAAATTTTACACCAAGGCCGGCTAATTGGCGGCCCTTGCCCCCACTTCCCTCATCGCTAGCGCCATCCCCTCCACTACACTGAAACATCCCCACTCCACGTAGTGAAGAGATCGACGCAGTAATGCTAGCGATCAGAAGGCAAAGACCCACGGGCCAGTTAGCCGGTTCTGCTCTACACCATTTCTGGCACACGCATTACGAGACAGTTTATTCGAAACTCGACGCTCAACGTGTTAGAAAAATATTCCCGTTTTCAAAAAAATTTTCTTTTCATCCATATCCATCGAGGAATCCAGATTCCAAAAGAAGAAGACGATACGTTATTTATGGGGAAAAAAACCCGGCTCGAATTTTCCCGATTCGATATTTTATTTTTCACAGGGATCCTTTCTTTAGGATTCGCCTCGATTATTCCATCGCCGAAATATTGGCTGCAAGTAGGTAATTGACAGCGACGAGACGGAAGAGTGCAAATTTAGAGGGAATTGTGATTGGCTATTCGAGAAATTAATTAGACTTTCAGGCCACGATCGACAAATATCAGATTCTATGCAAGAAAAGATAATAAGTTGAAAAGAGAGAATACAATTTTTTTCACTTCCGTTTTCGAGGAAATCGAGTATGAAGATTGATCGAGTATACTAATTTTGTAGACGTGGCAGAAAAAAATAATTGACAGAAGGTTAAATATACATAAAAAAAAAACATAGAATAAAATTTGTCTACAAGAAAAACGAATTTCGAGGCCGAAAGATTTATCAAATACACGTGTACCAGGGCAATTCTCAACGAAACGTCTGCTCTGTCGTCGAAATTTCTATCTCTATTTTCTCGAAACGAGAAAATTTCATTCCACATTTTTGCACATAGGATATATTCGCGAACCAGCCAACTTGAGAAATTTTCGATTTTTCCTCGAAAACGAAGGCTAAAAAAGACGAAAAAAAGTTAACGATTTTAGTGTTTCTTCCTATTTACGTGGAATCAGCTGCTACTCGATCGTGTCGCCAGTTACGGGACACCCTGTACACGTGTATCCGCTCGTTTCTAACTATCTTTCTCTCCCTTCTTCTCACCGTTTCCTTTCATCGGTCGTTGTCCCATTTCACCCGACTCACTCGCAGAGATGGTGACCCCTCGAAACTCTTCTTCTTTTTTTTTTTTTNCGCCAGTTAATCTGCTTGAAGTTCCACCAACCACGGGCGCTCTCTTTCCGACACGTTGCGTCCATTTTTTTTTTTTTTTTTTTTTTTTTTTTCAAACCCCCGAACACGTTTCGATCCCAATATCCCGCAAGACAAAGGTACGAAGCGTTTTCACCGAGCGAGTGGAACCACCTATCGAACGCTTTCCGCGGTTGAATGCTACTCGACTTTCCGAATGTTTCGACACGGTGACCCACTGCGGCTCGCGAAAGTATTCCAACGCTTGTGCACACACCGAAACGTGGACTTTGATAGAAGATTGTTCCGTTCGCTCGAGATGAGCTAAGACTGATGTAAACTTGTCGTTGAAAACGATAAGAGCGCAGTTAACAACGATCATTGTTTTTAGCATACGCTGGTAGCACAAATTCTAATGATCAATCATCGGACTCGTAATCGTTATCGAAGCTGTTACATAGAGTGTGCAATTGCAAGGAAAAAAATTTACAATCGCGGCGTGGCGAGTTGTGGTCAAGACAATTACAAGTTTTGAAGCTTCGTTGACACTGTGGCGAGAGCCGATCGTCGCGATTATCATCGATCGTGTTCGAAATAGATCGCCGGGGAACGCGTTGAATGCCGCTAAACTTTCATATTTTATCTATGGGACGAAATATGTATTTTGTTTGTCTACGTTACGATAAAGTACAACGAAAAAAACAGCGAGTTTAATAATATTATCTAGTTACTCGTGTTCTATATTGTCTAGTTATCTAAAATTCATTCATTATTAGTGATATTCATCTCGTTTTGATTATTTGTGGTCAATTCTTGTATACTAATAAAATAAAATATAATAATATGTAAAATATAAAAAATATATAAAATAAAATATAATAATACATAAAATATAAAAATAAATAAAATAAAATATAATAATATACAAAATAAAATATAATAATACATAAAATATAAAAATAAATAAAATAAAATATAATAATATACAAAATAAAATATAATATATAAAATATAAAAATAGATAAAATAAAATATAATAATACATAAAATATGAAATTAAATAAAATAAAATATAATAATACATAAAATATAAAAATAAATAAAATAAAATATAAAAATATACAAAATAAAATATAAGATATAAAACATAAACGTAGGTAAAATAAAATATAAAAATAAATAAAATAAAATATAATAATATATAAAATATAAAAATATATATAAAATAAAATATGCTTGTAACAATAAAATAAAATTGAATATCTCATGACTTCCATATACACTGAGATATACTATCACTCAAAGATCGTAAGACAATTTTTACTTTTGATATTTCAATATACAGGGTGTCCCGCAACTTGTGATCAACCGATTTTACATCGAAAAATGTGTCGAAAAGAAAGAATACGATCTTTTCACTTTGTTTATCGAGAAAATCGAGTATACTTGAATTTGGCTATTCGACGCGAGGATATTCTAAATGAAAAATAGATAAATAAAAAACGTATACGCAGGACGATGCAATTTCTAGATTGCTTCTAGATTGTTATAATAAAATTGTTAATACGCTAATGCTTCAAAGCATTATGAAATTCTTTCAGTTTTAAAACGAATACAGTACCTGTTCTAAGACTTTTGAGCGGGAGTGTACATGCCCAGCTTTTTCACGATCGCGACAGTGATAACGAAGTTCCAAAAAACTTGACACAACGCGTGTCCGTAAGGATTTCATTTTGTGATAAGCGCTCGAATCGTTTCGTGAGGCAAGGCTGGTTATCTGAAAGCTCTGAATTACCCTGACATTCCGACGTTCGTCAGATAATTCGACGACGCACAATGTTCGACTCAACGCAACGGAAAAGTGAAACACTCGGAATGTAACATCTGGAAAGTCTTACGTCATGAAATATTGGCAACGCAATGTAGTTTAACTAACTTTCCTTACTTTCACAAGACATATCGATTTTATAAAACTGTAACTTTCGTGAAATATATATCGCGTTGTTGTTAAAATTGAATGTGAAATTGACTTTTTTTTTTCTTTTGTCGCAGGAAGAAGATCAGTTTGTGAAAAATTTTGATACAACAATAACATATTTTTTTTATTTTTATGAATTTGGAAATGAAATTTTAGAAAATATACCGTCATGATTTTTTTTTATAATAGTCTGAATACATTTCACATTAATTTTACATTAAAGTCGAACTTCATTCAAAATGAAAAATAACGCAAACTCGAAATGCCGATGGGGAAGCCGAAACACAAAGAAACACATTAAGCAATCGAACATCGTGCCGAAAAAACTGCCAAGAAAAAAAATGCAAATAAAGACCCGATTAATTTTCTTATCTTCAGTTACGATTCCGCGGTTGCAGTACACTGACGAAAATAAGTCGACGAAAAATAAAAAGTGGTTTGATTATGGTGGAATTCAGAATCGTATGTATAATAACAACGGATGATACGAACGAAGAATTATCTCTCATTTATCAACATTTTCTTGACAAATCTTGAGAAACAAGTCTATCAGAGTCAGTCCATGTGACTGAGACTTGCAATTAGAATTATTATTTTTACAAGCAATTATAAAATTACAAAAGCGGACCCGCTAGTGTAAGCAAATGATAAATATTTGCCCGAAAAATTTTCATTCAGACAAAAAGGAACATACTCATCGAACACTGTGCGAGAATTCGACGGACACCTGAAAACGTGCGTGCTCCGACGTGGATTAAGTCAGCCGTACCCGTAAATAACGTTGCGATAGCGACTGATCGAATGGTGAACTTATAACTCGTACAACGCAGCTTCCGCATTTAGTACAATGCCAGCGTTATGTAACAGTTGCACGGTTATCGGTGCTGGCCTAAGCGGAAAAAAAAAAAAAAAAAAAAAGAACACCCGCCAATTTCGCCGAACGAGTGGTGAAACCGCGCTAGAGGGCGCTGTGCTCGTTCGATGGATGAAACGCGATCGGTCCCAGCGTGAATCGAATCCATATTTCCATTTTTCTCACGTCGGATAAAAATGATCTCACGAGGACCTACTTGGAGGAGAGTCGTACATCACAAAGATAGTTCTTTGTTCTTATCGTTAGTTATCTACGCTACTGATGGACTAATAAATTAACACTATCGTTCCGGCGTCGTTCTTTTTCTTTTTTTTTTTATATATATATATTGTCAGAGATACAAGACGTTTACGCCTGTTTATTTTATGTTGCGGCAAACAGTTACTTTTCGCAGTGGATTTCTCATTCTTCAGATAAGTATAATAATTTTGTTATATTACGCACGTTATTTCCAAACTGCCAAATATACTTAAATGGCCTAAATTTTGTGATTTACTTTGTGTGTGTTATGTATCAAACTGGACAAGTTTAAAAAAATATTTTTTATAATTAAAGTGTCTTTCGTTTTTACGTGGAAAAGTTTAAAGTCTGAAGTCTGAAGGGAAAAAGGGAAATGGGCGCGGAACAACATGAAAACGGCTTTGAGAATGCTGCTCGAAAGTAAAATAATTACAAAGCAAGTCTTTTCGCGAAAAAAAAAAAGAAAAACTATCGATTATTTTGCTTGTGATATTTGTAAACAACATTTAAGTAAAAATTTTGTTTTGTTGATTAATAATTATTAATCCTTATGGCAAAATTTAAAGAAGACAGTTTGTACCTTTTTTTATTATTCTTTTTTTTTTTTTAATCAAGAATTGGCCAAGTTATAACAGAAAAACTTATTGTTAATGTCCTGTAATGTACGACTCTCATCTACTTGTAATTCATGGTGGCCACGTGACTTTTCGAAAAACCAAACCCTTACATATGTCACGTTCAGTAGTTAACAGTTCGAAATCGATCCCGATGGAAAGACGAATGACATTTTAATCTCATCTGCCCGATTTTTCGTAAACATTGACAATTTCGTCGATTCTATTAACCATTTTGATGTTTATATCGAATATATTCATCACAAAAACACGACTCTTTCTTGTTTAACGAGTATACTCATCAGGTAGGAAAAAAAATTTGCATTTGCTATTGAAGTAAAATTCAGGCAAAGCAAAAAAAAAAAAAAACATATTCGTAATTTTAACACAATACTTTGAGACAAATAGCGAAGAAAGAAAAGATTGCTGTCAATTGTAATTATACGTAATTTTTTACGAAACGATAGAACTTTACAATAAAACACGATTTAAAAAAAAAAAAAGGAAACAAAAAATTTCCGTCATATTTCTATCACAGTTTCATTTCAATTTCACGGCAAATGCATCTCGTCGCAGCTTGAAAAATAATGAATCGCGCGTGTGACCGCCGTTCTCAAAAATAAAACGGAACACCCAAGGGGCCGCACGCATTTCCGTTAATGACATTCTGTTCGGCCGAACGAGGCACGTATGTATCGATACACCGTTTGAAACGACAAACCGCCAAGGAAAGGGACGATCTCGCGCAGAAGCGAACCGACAAGTTGTTTCGGAGCCCGGAACCGGAAGTGTCACGCTTAATAACGAGCGGCAACTTTCATTGGTGTTTCCAGCGTGCGAAAAGAAAAACTGGGTCGTCGACCGATTGTCTACTTGGTACACCCGAAAACGAGACGTTGCAGCCAGAATCCGCTGAATACACCCGAAAACGAGACGTTGCAGCCAGAATCGGCTGAACACACATCGCACGACTATAACTGCGTTTGCACAACGACGCGACAAATTCGAGGCAAACGTTCGATTTGTGTCTCTCGACTTGTGTCGCGAAAGGGGCGAGAAAAAAAAAAGCACACTGTGAATAGGCCCTGTGCGTTGAATCGAACAGAAACACGTGATTCCGCGAGATACGTACGTAGCCTGAACGATCGCGAATTGGCGACGTCGTTCGAGTAGGTTGAACACGATCGATTTAATTGAGAGGTTGGTTCCTCGAGAATGCGAACGAGGTTTGAGATCGATGGAGAGGCAGACTTCGACGGAAGGAAAAAAATAATTGAATCGAACGATGAAAGCTACACGCCGAGAGATGGAAGAACGCTGTCGTTGATTTGGTTCGCTATTGATCGTGGATAAAAGTGTGTCGTGTAAATAGAAACAGAAACACGACCGACGATTTATCGCGGAAGCGAAAAGAGAGACGAGAAGAAGAACGCGGAGCACAGCTCTCGCAATCGCGAACTCGCTTGATTCGAGATGCATACGGGTGATCGATCGCAAGAAGAAACGTAGATGTTCCTTAAAAAACACCGACAGAGCTAACAGGACGGACGCGAATGTCGATCGCGCACGTATGCATTTATTAAAGAATTTACAGGACGGATGGTGGCAAACAAGCGGAGAGTACGTTTCGCGTAGTATACCGGAGCGTAGTATACTAGTCGCACATATATACGACGCGTATTCATCCACTGTTACACGCGGCAACCAAGAGCGAACAGCCTACACGCACACGAAGAGGCACACACACACACATTTTCGTCCAACAACACGTTACGACGACACGGCGACAACATAACGACAACGACAACGACAACGACGACGATAACGTACAGAAAAGAGAAACAGAGGGCCAGATCGGTAGGTGTAGTTGTGCGCATTAACACAGAAGACCGATAGTAGGCTAGTCAGAGGCTCATACACACGCTCAATCGTATAGCAAGACGAGGAGCACATTCGCATAGAACATACACACACACATACACACAGAGGCAGACAGAGAGTGGAGCACACGGCGCAACGAGGAGAGAGAGAGAAATGCTCGTTGTTTACGTTCCTAACGTCTGAGCCGAGGAGGATGTACGGAAATTGTGAATACATGTCCCTCAATGGCAAGGACCTACTGGGATTTCCTTACTCTGCTTGTGACATCCGAAACTTCCCGCATGATCGCCTCGAACGCTGCTCTTTCCTGCGCTTCCTTCTGTTTGTGTAGCGCGATCTTGTCACTGAACTTTCGTGGATTCGCCATGATGGCTCGACACTAGATCCCCCGACACTCGCGAGTATCGTGCACCTATTATCGTGCGCCCTCTTATCCCCCCTCACACCGTTTAACTTCCGTCTTTCTTTTTTTTTTTTTTTTTCACCGATCGCACACCAATAACGGACCCTTTAAATTTCACCACGTTAGAACCCGTAACCTTCTGCCTTCTGGATGGCACTGCCGATCACTGATACGCAAGATTATGCGGCGCAGCGCGCCACGCGCATCGCGCAGGACCCGCTTTTTGCCGGCTCATTGGTCACACCGATCCCCCACCACTCCATCGCACCCGCAATAAAAAACTGACGACACTTTTCCGGGGTGTTCCAAAAAGCTCGCTCTTTCGTTTCCTATCGCCATTGACTAGCCTGCTCCATAGACACGACCGTTGTATCCTGCTTCGTGTCCCACGGTCTGAAATACCGACTTGCGAAAAGAAAAAAATCACTCTGTTTCTCTCACGCCCTCTGCGATCTCGCAGGGCCAACGAAAGAATTCCATGTTCAGCTCGATCGTCAAAGCTGACGATGTCACCAGCATTGTTTTGTTACGAGTTACAATGGAACACTCCAATTACATCCACGTTGAATTTTCATTCATCTTTTGTACGCGTGGTTTAGGAGAAATTCTCAACATTATTCGAGGCTTCGAACTATCTGGAAATCTTTAATCGTGTATTTCGTAAGTTAAACAGAATGGAGGGAGAAAGCTGAAAGCCTAATTACAAAGGAACGATAGTTTACAAATTAATCCTTTTTACCAATGTTTCTTGCAAATTAAAATTTGATTGTTTTATGGGCACTGAAACGCTGTTACCATCTAGCGGTGAAACTTTGGAACTAATCATCCGATATAAAAATTACAAAATTACAAATTTCTAACTACTTTCCGACCGTATTTTAGCCGAAAATTTACGGACACTCTGGTATTAGTAAATAAGGCCAGATATTATTCATTTTCAGTATTAATTATATGAAATATATGAAGAAACAAAATTCTTTTGAACTATAATTTATCAATTATACTATTAGTAAAATAATTACTAAATGTTAAGACATTGGATTTCAAAAGTTTAATACGATAAATATTCGTGAAAATTAATAACATTTTTACTAATTAGCACTTGTGTACTTCCATTAAAGAATTAATCAATTATGTCGGAAATCAAAATAGTATTATACGGGAAAATTCTTTGACAGTTAAAATTCTAATTTAATTCCTAACCAGCTCAAAAATTTTGCTTGCAAAATTTTGCTTACAAAAACGTCGAATTTGCTTAAATTCGATTTTTTAATTTTATCATAAAAACATTAATTCTACCTTCTCATTGCTAGATGTTTTTTATATCAATAATTTAACTAAATTTTCATTTGCAAAAAAATTAATTAAAAGAATTAATATGCAAAGTTTTATAGTCGTATTTTCTTAATTGGACTTTTAATTTTCTTCCTTTATTTCGTCTAAGCCTCGAAAGGTGATAAAATGGACAATTGTATCATTATATTAACTACTCAAGTATAATTCATTTGTTTGTATCTCGTCTGTGGCGCCTGTTAAACAGAATCGATAACATCGCATGCGACACGGAAATGATAAAGAAATAACTCTTTATTAAAAAAATTTTTATGTTATTTATATTCATTTACACTTGTTATATTACTTTAAACGATAAAAATGATTGATCCTTATTGATTTTGCATGATGTAAAATTACTGAAGAATTTCTCTCTAACACGAGCTACAGTCGCATATCTTCTTTATACTGTTTAAAAAATGACATAAAAAGTTATATTTCCTAATTGTAATGCAATTTTTTCATATATATTACTTTGAAAATATTGATAAATAATTTCACATTTCTGTTGTATCGATTGAGAACGAAGTATCATCGATTTACAAAGATTTTTATGGATTACAATTATGTTACAGTTTCCTTGTTCATGTAAAATTATTATAGAAATAAAAAGGGGATTTTATACCCGAAATACATTAAAATGTTAATCTAATTATCATTATTTTACAACTTAAAATATAAAAATATTGTTATTACGTTTGTGATGAAATGTTTTACTTGTAATATTTTCTTGCAGTAAGGATGTAGAATGTAAATTAATCAAAGATGACTCGTTTAGATAAAAATATGTATGTTGAATGTTTACCAGTAACTCTGTATAATGAAATAATTAACGCATTAAATAAAGATGCAGCTTGGATAACATTAGCAAATCATGTAGCTGAAGAACTCCAACTTAGGTAAGAAAAAAAAAAAAATTTAAAGTATTTAAAAAATTAATCACATTCTATTCTACATTGTAAACACAGTACTCTATGGATACACTCTTTAAAAAAGATTAAATATCCAAGCGATTCTCCTGGACAGAAGCTACTGTCTGAATTAAATATTAAAATGTGTACTATAGAGATTTTACGTACTTTGTTGAACGACTGTAAACTTTATGACATTCTTTCCATTATATCTGATCCAGGTATGATAATACTCATGCTCTATTACTGCTGATAAATTATAAATTTAGTATTTTTGAAATATTAATGCTTTTAGAACCTTTAAGCATTGTTGTGCATCCAACAGAGGAACTTCATACTGATATTTTAAAAGTACCATTTGGACGTCATCTTCATTTATGCTGCAAAGCTGTTGGAATACCACCGCCAAATTACATATGGTACCATAATAGTAATCAATTGCAACATTGTATTTCTGACGAACTCGACCTTGTTATAACTTGGTACACATCTCAAAAAATATTTAGATACTTTTATTATTTGATTGTGTTGTAAAATCTATTTCATTTTTAAAGTGCTTCTCAAGCAGGGGAATATAGATGCGAAGTATTTCAAATTAAGAATGATGGAAGTCTCATATCGACCTTGACTTCTAAAGCTGTAACTGTACAAATTCTTTCTATACCTGTTGCAATAGAGGAACAACCACAGCCACTTCTGGAAGTTAAAGAAGGTCAAAATTTTACAATTTGTTGTAAAGCCAATAATTATTCTAAACCACGTTACCAATGGTTTCATAATAATACTAAACTAGAAGAAGAAACATCCAATATTTTGCATGTATGTAAACTACTCTTATTTCAGAATTGTTATTTTTCATTTATTAAGTTTGATTTATTGACATTTCAGATAAAACAATTTAGTTTGAGAAATGAAGGAAAATATTATTGTCATATTTATAATGATATCAGTGAAATTTATACAGAAAGGGCTCATGTAATGGTAAAAATGGATAATATTTTTAGTAACAATCCACCATTATGCCATAATTTACCAATTACATTTTTCTGTAGATGGATTTTCCAAAACTTAAAGCAGTTGCAAAAATAGCTTTAGTTATTGCAAATGAGGACTATGATTGCCATGAACGTCTTCTAACATCTAAAAATGATGCTGCATGCATAGGTAATCTTCTTAAAGAAATAGGATTTGAAGTAATTTGTCTTCTCAATTTGACAATTACTCAAATGAAGAATGCAATAAAAATATTTAGCGAAGCCTTAGAAGAAGGTGTATATGGTAAGATGTAATAAAGAGTACAAGTTGAAAAATATACCATCGTTTAAATTTGTCTCTTCTTATATAGGTCTATTTTATTTTGCTGGTCATGGTTTCAAAATGCAAGAAAATTACATGCTTGCAATAGATGCTCCAGAAATATATTTAAGAAAAGATGCAATATGTGAAAGCGAATTATTGTCTGCATTCCTTGAGAATGATCCTGAATTATTAATTGTTATTTTAGACATGTGCCAAACTTTACCCTCAAAGTAAATTTTTGATTTTCTTCCATTCTTTTTGTTTCCATTCATCTTCATATTTAACTTGTCTATTTATTTTTAGAAAATTTAATCCCGAAATATATCACGAGGTACCAATTGTGAATGAATATAAAAGCAAGAAAAATCTTAGAAATTTAATTCAAGCATACTCCACATCTAGTCATCGACCTAGTTATGAGAAATTGAACTGTAAATATGGCTTGTATATGGAACATCTTAGCAAATATATTAATGAAGATATAACTGTCACAAAACTATTTGAAGAAGTAGGAAAATGTGAGTTGTTTACTATGTATTTTGTCTGCGTATATTTACACGCATGTCAACTTGTCTTATATTTTAATATATATTTGCAAACTTTATCTTATGACCAATGTTTGCAGCAATTGATAGTTGTTTTAAAGGGAAAGAACGAAATCAGATTCCAATGTTTGCTGTGTCTGTTACAAAACCATTTCGCCTTACCGATGCTACTTATGAAAGTAACTTTACATTCATTACATTTATAGTAATGTTTTAATTATTTTTTTAACATATATTTTAAATGTTACAGAAAAACTTTCACATAACATTGATTGTTTAAATGAACTTATATCATATTCAACTCAAACAATAAACGTATTGTTTAAACCAGCAAATATGTGCAGTAGAGTTACAATTTCACTCTTTATGGAACCATATTTAAATGTAATAAGAATCAAAGTACTTGATTTACCAAATGTAGAAATCAATTTTTTTAATTCTATTCCCACAAAACGAAATAATTTATTTCAAGATCAACATGAGAAAGAATGTTGGATTCACAATCCCCAAATCAACGAGGTAATAATTTCTAGTTATTATAAAAAATTTTACATACTACGAAACAATTTAATATGGATTACTATAACCATTTATAAACATTTATATTACAGGGATCATTGATAATTTCTGTATCAAAGAATAGCATCGCTATTAGTGCAACAGTGTTGCATATAAAAAATTACATACCTCTTTTGCTGAAACTTATAAATGTTTAAGAAATACAACATAAACAATTACATATGATTTTAAAATGTGATTTTTCAAATTTATGTTAAATTTTCTCTGAAATAATTAATGTATTTATACAACTATTTAACAGAATTCTCTTTTTTTTTTGTAGTATTGTATATATGCTATGACTTAGAAAAAAAATATTCACTATAAAACATATAACTAATAATTTATTGCAAATTAAAAATTTTATTTAATCAAATAATCATTGACGTATGATTTACTAACTTTACTATCCATGGACCACCCATTCCATTTTTATACTTTCTTTGAAATACATAACAAATATATATATATGATTCTCGTTCCACAGGAATACCAATCATTGTCATTCCATGTACCGCTATTTCAACAAGTACATCCTTGCTACCTGTAGCATAATTATATCAAATGGAAAAAAAAGCAAAGAAAAATACAGTTATATTAATAGAAATTCACCTTTTATTCTTTTTGATGTTAATGATCGAGTGAAAAATCCAAAAAAATCAAGATTAATACTTAATAATTCTTGTTGGCTAGGAGTGAGATGGTTAACTCTGTGCTTTAGTACTTTTATAGCTTTTGGACTTACAATACCATCTAACGCTTCATAGTTCTGTTTACTTAAAGCTTCAGATATTACCAGTATTGCCTAGAAAGTATTTTTAATTAGAATTTTATTGAATAATAACTTTATATTAAATAATATATATAAATATTGAAATATATATGCATTTTATCAAAGAATAATTACATTTAACATTCAATAACAGGTCCATAAACATATACCTGTTTAATTCCTTGCATTATGGTTTCGTTATTAAACTCATGATCAATTGTTCTTTTTATATAAAGATACGACCAAAATATTTTGAAAAGACTTTCTCTTGGAACAATTTTAGTCATTAATGGTGGCAATAGAATTTTTTGACTTTTATTTTCAGTGAAGAATAACCTATGTATGTTAAAACTTGCATTTATTAAATTTGAGTATTTCAGTTCTCTGCAGTGATGCGTGGTTTTCATTTTCATTTGAGTTGTATTATTCATGTGAAGTGTTGTGAACTGTCGTATTTGTGAGTGGAGCACATATTTTTTCAATCGGAGTAACATTTTAATCCTATACTTTTCATATGTACACAATGTATGCAAAGCGTGTACTAACATAATCTTATACTAAAACCATAATACTAATAATGTATTCAGTTTCTGTGATATCATGCGTGATTTAATGAATATTATTATAATATATGGTTTGTAAATATTTGTTTTTAAAAAATATATGTACAATTTATAATTTATAGTAGATTTATGTAACTTGCTGTTTTTTGAAAATATGGCGCTAGAAGAATGTCAATTTTAAGTCACGTTTACAATTGTATTTACCTTAAATCGTACATGATGAAAATGTATTTTTATTACATTTTTTAGGATAGACTATTTTTAAATACATTCTATGTGGCTTATCTTGCTGTCTGTATGCATTTTAATAAATTGGTTAACTCTCTAGCTGTTAGATTCAATTCTATTTAACGTACATTCTCAAAGGTTATGTGTACATGCTGTAGAACGTAGACAACGCATTTTGGGACTAAGATTTTGGTTGTATTTTAAAAGACTTTACAGTATTTTCTATCAGACTAATAATTAAAAAAACAATGAGACTTATAACTACTTTATTTGGAAAGATGGGTGAGTGGTCGAAAAAATATGCCAATTTACCAGATCGCTACATAGACCGTATCTCAGAACGTGTAAGTGAATTTATTTTATATTGATATATATTGTATTTTGCTCTTCTTTATGTACATGTTATATAAATTAGAAAATAATATTTTGTAGGTACTTTGGAGACCTCCACCTGGCAAACCACAATATCTTAATCGTAAAATAGTGGCAAATCGTAAATTATACTACTCTATCCATCGGCCATGGACAACGCATTTTCAGTTTCAGAATTGGATTTTAAAACACAGACAGTGGTATCCGCTCGAACCTATAAAGGATTGGAGTTTCTTTCGTGGTGATCGTGTATGTATTTGTGTATGCCTGATGAGAGATATCAGTATTAAAGATATCAATATTATTTTTTAGGTGACAGTGTTAGTTGGCCCTGATAAAGGAAAACAGGGAATAGTTCATGATATTATACAAGAGAGAAATTGGATCATTGTACAAGGGCTAAATACAAAGGCGGTAATATTTGACAAGAGAAAGAATTTTCCTGGTATTTGTAGGCGTATAGAACAGCCATTATTAGTCAATGTACAAGTGAAATTAGTAGATCCTTCTGATTTGTAAGTAAACTGGTAGTATATACAATTTGCAGACTATTTCATGTATTTCATTTATTTCAGGAATGCAACTTCAATTGAATGGAGATATACAGAACAAGGTGAACGTGTGAGAGTATCTCTTAGAACTGGCAGAATTATTCCTATTCCTGTAACAAGTAAAGAAACTGTAGATTACAAATCCCCAGACATTTATGTTGAACAAGCGAAAGACACTACTGCAGATGATGTAAAGGAATTAACATTTGAAGTATGTGTAACTTATGTTTTGACAAAATTATTAGAGGGGCAGACAATTAATATTGCTGATTTTTATTGATTTGTAGGCAAAATTAAAAACCTTTGAAATGGATATTATGGATAAAATGGATATCAAAGAGGATCGCATACCAAAGGAAAGTTATTGGTATTAATTTTGTTAAATGTATAATGTTTTCACAAGGTATTAAAGTTCTTCATTGTACATATAAAAACGAATTTTAGAATGATTCTAAATTTGTCTTTTATGTTGGTACAGTGAACTTGTTTGAAAGTAAAACTGTAACATTGTTTGAAAAAACACTAGTTGCGATATCTTGTCTCGAAAACTGTATTGAGGATGATTTGCAGAATTAAAAGAATTGATCGAATATATATACTTTTTTTTATATTTACTCCAAAGGTAAAATATTTTTCGTAGCGTTATTGTTTATCAAGGAATTCGTTAAAGGCAAGCCGTTTTTATTAATGTTTATTACTTTTATATTAACACACATACATATCACAGCATGATTTTTAACAAACACGACCTAGAAACAAATGTCAGTCTACATTTAAATACTTTAATGATGCATTATATTAACATTTCTTTTTTTTTTATATTATATATGCCATATTTCTAGAACAATTGCATTTCGAATTTTTGCACGCTATTCTTATTTACAAATAATTTTTCTTCCTTTATTTCGCAATGTCATATTAAACAAAATCATAATAGGAATGCTCGTCTATAACGCACGTTATTCCTTGAATCAAGCTTACAATGCAGACTAATAGCGAGTGATTAGAAAAAGCATTCCTTCCTTTATAATGTAATGAAATGTATGCAAATAAATGTCACGCATCGTACTCGATGGTACCACAATAAAAAAAAAAAGAAAAAAAAACAAAATAAATCTCCCAGTGAACTGAGATTTTCAAATAATTGCTTAACAATATTATCTCGGTATACATACGTATAAGCACAATATGTGAATCCCAATTGTAAGTAACGTTTCAACGAAATATTCGTTATTTTTTGAAAAAACGAAAAGACAAACTAAGTACCCTTGATAGAACGTGATTTCGCGTGTCAAGATATCGGCGAGATGGTACGTGATCTGATCGGATTCAGCATGAAAATTGGCCATTTGACACTTCGAGATTCGAAGTTTGTTGCATCGTAATGATATCGCATTCATACGCAGTTCGTTATTTTAATTTGACTATCATTCACGATGATTTGGTGGCAGGGTGCCTGACTAGGAGGTTCACTTCGCCGTCGTGCAGTTTCTTCATGAGGGACCACGCTTCGATTCTCGACATACGTGTCACGTCGTAACCGTTCACTTCCAATAGTTGATCTCCTGCTTTCAAAGCACCTGTTTTCTCGGCAGCACCTCCTACACCATCATTTCTGTTAGATCTCAAATTTCCAAGCGCAAGAGGAAAGTCGTATTATACGGATAACGTGAACGTACCGGTAAATATTTTTTTGATCAACAGTGGCCTGTCTCCAAGAGGGCTATCTCTGCCTCCTTCGAGACTGAATCCCAAACCAGTTCCGTCTTTGTAAACCGCCACAACCGACGGTGGACCCCACGCGGTATCCTCTGCAGCATCGTTCGTCTCGAATCCTACAAAAATGCATTTTTAAATTGTATCGTACCAGAGAACACGTTTTAAACGCCTTTTAAATGTGTCATTATCCCTGCAATGAACCTATATATAATAAATTTCCCATCAAGATCACCTTCGATGATGGTTTCGACGCTGGCGGTCCGTGATTTCAGTTTGCAGCCTTCCTCGGATCTCGCACGAGAGACAACCAAAACGACTTCCGACCTAGGTTGCTTCAGTACCGCGATGCTCTCCCTGTGCGTGAGGCCCTGCGTGCTTCTGCCATTTATACTCAGAATCCTGTCGCCTCTCTGCACACGGCCGTCCTTGTCGGCGATGGAATGAGCCAGCACACGATGGACCGTGATCTCTTTAATTTCACAATCCGCTCCTCCAGCTAAAGTAATTCCAACGCTGCCGCTTGGATTCTCCTTATGAAGTAGCACGACTATCACGTCGTGTGCGCCACGAGCTTCCTCGAGACTCGCCTCCTCCACCAGCTGCGCCAGTTCCTGCTGCGAGATCAAGCTGGTGCTACTGGCCAACGAACTGATACTCCCAAATTGCTCGCTGCAGCATCTGTCCGTGTCCACGTCAGTTCCAGCCGGGGACACGTTCTCGTCCACGCTGCTGTCTAAACTCGGGAACCGGTTGTGAGTAGCTTTGACAGTTTGTTGCGGACTGGCCACTTCCACCGCCTTCTTCACGTCCGTGACACTGGCGCTCCTTCGACCAAGATTCCTCGTCACTGGGATTTTTGACAGCAACGTTGACTTTGACCTTTCGAGTTCCGTCGTTTCGTTCACGCTGCTATCGGCCAGTCTCGATTTCTCCAGCGTTCCACCCTTCGAGAACGTCTTATCCTCGCTCCAGCATTCGTTCAACATTGTCGAGCTTCTCCTAACGTATCGATTGTCCCTAGTCTCCCACGAAGGTTTGCTCTGTATGTTACAGTGTGTACTGTTCTTTTCGATTCTCGTCTCACCGCTTGGACATCTCAATTTCGTGTCCGCCTTTGCACTCAGAATGTCTTCCAGGCTCATCTGACTCTTCGATCGGCCGAAACTTCCGTCGTCCACGTGTATCGCCGATCTAGATCTACTCTTCGTCGTCAGTATCGTCAGAAGATCGTTCTGATCTTCGGCAGACTTCCTCGTAGGTATACCAACTGGAGACCGTTGTTTCTGCAAGAATTCGTTTTCGTTTTCCTGTCTTCGTCTGCTGCTCAACGACAGATCGGCAGGCTTGTTGCTCTTCAAACCGTTGTCCATCGAGTCGACATCGACGTCGCGAGACTTGTTCTCCTTCTTCTTGTTAGCCGTCTTCTCCTCGGTCGATCTTACCAAAGCTTTCGCCTCTGTGCGCACCCACATCTTCAAGTCGTTGGACGGTTCTATCATCTCGAACTTGGACGGCCGACTCGCCATCGTCGCGGCCGTTACGTTTCTCTTCGAAGATAATCCGTCGTTGCTCTTCTGGAAACAGTCGTCCTCGCCGAACGAGCCTGTCACCTCTATGTAGGCGATCTTTACATCCTGCGCGCTGGCAACCGCGTCTTTCGCGCGATTCTTCTGGCAGCTCTCCTCGCCGTTCTCGGATATTGCCGATCGGCACTCGTCGTCCGGGAACTTCCTCTGGATCAGCGGCGAGCCATTCAGATCCCTGCCGCTCCTGCATCTGGCGCTGGCCAGGATATTCTTGCGATTGATCGCCTCCACGCTCTGCGGTTTCAGTACTCTTCTCGACAACGACTCAGCGCTCGCCTGAGAACCGGAGGTGAGGGTCGACGACGTGCTGCAGTTGGTGTCCGTGCTGTTTGATCGTTTCAACTGCCTCTGAGGTATTTGAGAGTTTCTCGGGTTCAAGTCTGTCGTCGGCGATCTGAGGCCGGAGCTGCTGCTGCTCGACGATGATCTGTCGGTGATGAACAGCCGGTCGTTCGCGATGTTGGTTCTGGCTGATGTGAATTCCACGCTCGGCTCTCTCGCGTACGTTCTAGTCGGGCCGTCCATGATGAGGGAACGTCGTTGATAGCTGGCCTCCGTGGAGACGTAGGATCTCTCCGACGAAACGGTGGATCGTTCCGAGGGCACCGGCGACATCGGTGGACTGAAGCCTCGCGAGATGCTGCTCTGCGAGCTACTCACTGCAGAATCGTTGTCCGAGTCGTCGTAATCCATCCTGGCCTTCCTCTGCGCCTGTGTCCTCGGCCGGCCGCGTAACCCCTCCGGCGAGCTGGCCGTAGACGCGAACTCGAAGCTGTAGTCGCTTCGCGTCGGACTGCAGATGCTCTCCAGGCTTTTCGGAGGTTCGGACAGTGGCGGTGTGCAGCTGGTGGCCGAAGGGCTTTTCCTCGGGCTGCTGTTTGTCGTCGAACTGCCCGAGGAGGACCCGTACACCGCGAGGCTCTTCCTCTTGAAGGCTGGCGAATACTTGGAGTGTATCTGAGGAGCTGGCATCTTGAAGGACGCGGTGTTTTTCAGGGGGACGCTCGCCGTGCTCGCGTTGCTCGCCAAGGAACTCTGGGAACCCCATTTGTCCTGGATGTTCACTTTCGGCAGCTGCGAAAGGTGAAAGATGTTTCTGTAAGTCTGGGAATGTTACGAAGATACCCTGAAAATAGCCGCGTTGCGAGTAGCTTTAATTTTCTAATTGACAAAAATGAAATAATAATTGTTAGAATGCACACGCGAATATTGAATTTATAGATAAAAGTATATATATTTCGTATGGTATTTAATATATATATAACATACTGAGTATCTGCTATAGAATATAATATAATAAAAGAAATAAAATTATCTTTGGTTAATCTCAACTGCACGCTTTAGGCCAATGATGGCGGACCTATAACCCACGCAGGCTTTTTATAAATTTATCATATATAAAAGACTAATAATTATTTTTCGAACTCCTCTTTTCAAAAAATGTTAAGAAAATTACAAGTGTTCGGTTAGAGGTTAAAAGTGAGAAATAAATGCATAATTGTGTTTTATGGAGGATTTACTATGGAGGTTATGTATACATATAGGTATTTTAAGTCTTAAATGTTATATGAGTTACTTGTGTCCAAAAAATTTTATATAGCGTTTACGATTAAACAGATGAAACAAACACTAAAAAACACACTAGATCCCATTCTCAGAATGGGTAGCTTTGCTAGGTTTTTATATAATAAAAGAGAGAACAGACAATAAATATTAAGAAATAAAGTATATATATCTAATGTATAGTGCAGGGATGACTGGGTATGATGTCACCCCTTTTATATCAATTCTTTGACGTCGACATTTATTTTTTGCTCTTCATTTGCAAAAGTATGTAAGATTTATTCATTTTTTCCTTTATTTCCTTTATTTTCAGGATTATTAATAAATCAAAAATGATTGAAATTTCAATTTTTTTTCATATTTATTGGAGTTAATTTTTGTTGTAAAAGGGAGTTGTGAAACAAAGGAGAAACGTAAACTTTTTAAAGGATTATAAAAGTGAGAACCAAAAAAAAAAAAAAAAAAAATAGTTTCTAACCATCCTCCCCTCACCCCTTTCCAAGTGACGCCGCTGACTTAGTGACCCACGAGCTAGTACTAAACAAAATAATGAACAAACTTTGATCTACTATTCAAAAAGGTTCGCCGTCACTGCTCTATTTACTTTATACAAGCTAAATTCACGAATCAGTAAAATTCAACAATAATGATGTACCTGATGCAGCAGTATCGAGTCTCGCGACTTGATTTCAGGCAAGTCAACGATAGGCGCGTCGATCGGTATCGTCTCTTTCTCAGGGATGACCAACCCCCTGAGCTTCGATATCGACTTTTTCCTCTGCTCGATCAATTGATTCAAGCTGGTCCTCCGGATGTCCTCGCTGGGCCTTTTGAACGTGGACGCCAGCGAGCTGGTTCTCGTCACTTGCGGCATCGTCGAAAGTTCGCTCGTCGTTGAACTTCTGTCCTGGGTGTACGGGCTCGATCCGGAGAAACTGGTGGCACGAGACAACGGGGCCGACGTGATGACGGGTTTCATCGCGACGCTCGACGACAAATTCTGACTCGTCGTCGTCAGAGAGTAGCTCTTTATCGGCGACTTAGCTATCGAGGATGTGTCGAACGACGGTATAATTGTCGAGGTGGCTGGCTTTTGCGGGACAATCGGGTACGCCTTGGAGGTGTAGACAGTCGGCGACGTGCTGTGCGTCGTGCTCGACGATCGCCTGTATTTCTTCCCGAGCTCTTGGCCAACGTTCTTCCCCGAATCCGTCAAGTCGAAAGAGCTTTGCGTCCTGTCCGCGAAGAAGGATACCCTCTCCTTCTGGCCGGTGTTTTTCTCGTCGTTGCACACGTCCTCCGTGGACTTGTATCTGGGCAATCTCCGGCCGTTGTTCGTCGCGGCGCTGGCCACTACCGAATTAGGAAACAGAGGACCATCCAGGCTACACTGCGACGAGAACATCGCGATCTTATCTCGGACCGATCGTTCCGACTTGTCGTCCTGCCTCCAAAGTTCACCGTTCACCGAGAATTTCCGCGGCGTCGACTCGAAGATCGCGACGTTCCTCGCGTATGGCGAGCAGATCGTTTCTGATTTCGACGGGCAGATTGGTTCCATCTTCGGTGAGCAGATCGTCTCGACGTTGGGCGGGCCTGAAACGAATGTCAGACGATTTCATACATATATATATATATATATTAAAAATTCGTACATCAATTACGACACGCGTAATTTTTTTTTGTTCATTCTCGTTGAAGCGATCGATGACGATCGGGAGAAATTTACGACAAATAAAATTGCCTGACAATCAAATGTTAATATCGTATTGATAATTATACAAATCATAGAATCATAGAATAATATGTATAATATATTCTAGAATATATTATATATATTATTCTATGATTCTATGATTCTATGATTCGTATAATTATCAATACGATATTAATTTAATTGTCAGGCAATTTTATTTGTCGTGAATTTCTCCCGATCGTCATCGATCGCTCCAGCGAGAAAGAACAAATTAAATTATGCATGTCGAATTATGATATACGAATTTTTAACATTTAATTGTTAAATAAATACAAACTTAAAAAACTGAAAAATAACAAACTTTTAAATCATTTAATTTAATTGTCTGACGTATACGTGTTCTTAATATTTAATAGTTGGACAATTAAATTTAATTCAGTGGACAATTATTACGACGTGTATCTTCTTCGAATAGAAATAAAATCCACGTTGTTCGATATTACGATATTAATCGACAGCTTGAAACTGCACGTTACTTTTTCTATACCGAATTCCAACAACAATAATTCTGGATATCCCAATGATATTATTACATATTATATCGGTACATAATGTTATACGACTATAGTATTCCAATAACAATATAATACTGAATAATTTTAATGGATAAAACATGAGTGGAGGGATTTACCAGTGAGCGGCAATGGCGGAGGCGTGTCCAAGGCGTCCTTCTCGACAGGGTCCTGCACTTCCTCGAGAACGGGCACGTCCTTGTGATAGTAGCCCGTGATCTCGATCTTCTTCTCCGACACCAGAACGTTACCATCGAGTTGCGTCCCGTAGCTGGTCGTCTGGTAGTTGGTCACGGACGTTGGAGCCTTTTTAACGAAGTCATCCGCGACGTACGGCGTCGAATCGCGGCCCTCGCGAGCCAGAACGCCGCTGCCCGTGTCTTGACAAACGTTCTCGCCGCTCATCTTGCCGTTTATCTCGATGCTCGGCAGTTCGATCTTGCTCACCTCCTGGCAGACGTTCTCGACGCTGGACAAACCGGTGATCCTGCCGGTGTCCGCTGGCAAGATAATGCCAGCCGCGGCGACCACGTTGCTCTCGAGCAACTTGAACCCATCGTCGTTCGCGTACGTGTCGCTCTCGTTGCAAACGAGGCGGCCGTTCGCGATCATCGTCGACGTCCTCGCGGTGCTCGTCGTCACGAAACGGTACTGCTGGCTGTTGCCACCGAACTCCTGGTACGCTGCTGGAAACTCGTCCCCGTCCGGGGGCAGGCGCTGACCGCCTCCGCAGTTGTCCATCCTACCATTTACCGTCTCTGAAATCACGCGAGTAACAGAGCGTTGATTATCGATATGTTCACCGGTGAAATAACTCTCGACGGTCGTTTGAAAACGATCAGGCACAGATTCTCGCGGAACTGTTTAACAAGAACGCGTGGACGCTATTTTTGAATCCGAGAGAAAGAATATTCTTTTTGTATTATAAAAATTTGGATTTGTACGGTGTCATTCAGTGTGTCCATTTTCACTAGTGCTTACGCCAAATTTTCAGCATACCTCTATATTTCTCGAATTCGATGAATTAGGCTCTCCGTTATCAAGACACGCGTCTCTCGCTGTCTGTGATTGTTTACGATTTGACCAAACATTTTTCAAACCCTGCCAAACGAGGCTGGTCTGTCCACGGAAATCCAATTGTCGAGAAAAACTGTCAAGTATCCAATAAAAGTGCATGTTTGCGGCTGCTTTGACTTACGCGTCTTTACAAACAGTCGAGACGCTTGGGTGACGAACAAATTGTACGAAAGAGGGTTTTCAAGGTCTGTGAAACACAGTTTCAACGAAGGAAAGCTTCAAGAGACGATGATCTCAAGCATCGAAGCCGCGTTTGCGCATAGTGGAAAAAAGAAAACGGTATCAGGGTGTTGGATCGGTCATCTCAGTCCCAATCCAATGCCAATCCAATGCCAATCCAGTTGAAAATATTTAGTCAGTCGCGAAGCATAGATTGCGAGGTACGCGTGTCTNCAGTGTCCACGTTCTTAATTAACCTCCTGCGCTGGAATAACGTGCCACGCACGTCGTGAATTTTTTCTCCCAAATTGCAACGTTTTCTCAGTTTTTAAGTATATTTAAATGTAACCCAAGCAAAAACAAATGATAGGTTTATTACTTCTTAGTAATTTCTATCCAGTGATATCATCATACCGACGAGTTTAAAAGGAGAAGAAAACGACAAATTATTGTATACGTTATATTGTTCGGTCACTCGTTATGGTCCGCAAACCAGTTGCCAGCGCAAGGGGTTAACTTTTTGAGGTTAGGTAATAAATATAGGTATAAATAAATTAGTAATACCTGATTTATATATATATATAATACAATAATATTATAATAAATAATAATAAATTAGGTATTACTCTGTAATAAAGAATTAATTTATTATACTTCTTAATAATTTCTATCCAGTGATATCATATCGACGAGTTCAAAAGAAAAAGAAAGCGATAAATTATTGTACACGGCTCGGTCACTCGTTATGGTCCGCAAATCAGCGCAAAGGGTTAACTTTTTGGGATTAGGTAATAAATATAGGTATAAATAAATTAGTAATACCTGATTTATATATATTTATTATATATATATATAATAAATAATATAATAATATTATAATAAATAATAATAAATTAGGTATTACTCTGTAATAAAGAATTAATTTATTATTTCTTAATCATTTCTATCCAGTGGTATCATACCGACGAGTTCAAAAAAAGAAGAAAGCGACGAATTATTGTACACGGTTCGGTCACCCGTTATGGTCCGCGAATCAGTTGCCAGCGCAAGGGATTAAACACACTACATTGGCTTTGAATAGTAGATATCACAGTAATTCTGGAGAGTACAACGTCCTTCTTCCAAGAGTCGGAGACTCTCGGATTGCGCTAATCGGAGACGCGGTCGTGGTTGCAACCACGAATCTTTGAGCGTTCGAACCCGCGCGTAATCCTCTCTTTCTCTTTCTCTCTCTCTCTCTCTCTCTCTCTCTCTCGACGTCCCATTACGAATTGCGCAACGTAATTACCTTATTAAGGCCGATTGCGACTGAAATGCTAGAAATTTGCGTGCACGCGTAATTCATACGCGTGGTTCGTACGTCTGTCGATCTCGGTGGCAGCGGGAATGGGAAGGAAAAACGCAAGAGGGTTGAATTTCCATTAGCCTCGGGACTGATTTCGGAGCTCGTGCGTATAAGTTGACGCTCTTGTGCACTCGTCGCTCGTTTCGATTCACGCGTGTCGTTGCTCTCACCGCGATCTTGCTGGCGAACGAGAACTACGTTCGAATGTTCCAGTCCGAGGAGACGAGAGAAAATGTTTAATAAACATTTTCCAGCTACCGCGATCGCGATAAAATTCGAAAATAAGGCTCGGCTTGTGGATAAAACCCGACTGGTGGATATTTTTCTTCAACATCCGCTTCCCGTTTGTCGACTCTCTCTCTCTCTCAGCGAGCGAACACGCCGCGCTAGGAATTTTAATGTATGTATGATCGAGATATTCCTACGTTCGTTGCGAGTCGCGTTCCACTTCGAGAATCCTTGGTACCAGCGATCAGGAGAAAAGATCGGTTTCAGTTGCAGTCGCGAAAACTTGAGCTTCATGTTGTGTACGAGTGTCTTATTAATTTTGCTATACTATATTGTGCGTTATAATTAATAATAAATCGCGAAATTTGTTCGCAAAATTTACGCAGTTAATTGATACTTTAGAGCGGATCCGCGGCTCGGATCCAAGGATTTCTAACCAACCGATAAACAACGTACGCGCGCGTTATCTGCTCTTGAGCGTGTGTCACGGTTGATCACTCGGAATTGTGAAAAATATCGCCAGACTAAATATTTTCAAATACCGTTTGCACCAAAGGCGCCGTCCGGTCGAAGCGTTTCTGCGTTTCGTTCAAGAACACTGGATATACATGCACATGTAACTTTTTTGCAACACATATTTTTACGAATACGGATTTCGTACAGCGGATTTTCATATTTTATATTTTAGACTTTAGATTTTCATATTCTATGCCTTTATATTTTTTATATTTTATATTTTAGATTTTTATATTCTATGCCTTTATATTTTTTATATTTTATATTTTATATTTCCATATTTTTATATTTTATATTTTAGACTTTTATATTTTTTTTGCACGTAATTTTCCAAGAAAGAAAAGCCTATCGACAGAGGGGAAGGAATTCGAGACAGATGTACATTTTAACCACAATTTTTATATTTTATATTTTATACTTTTAGATTTTTATATTTTATGTCTTTATATTTTGTATTTTTATATTTTATATTTTATATTTTAGACTTTTATATTTTTTTTTTTTTTGCAAGAAAGAAAAGCCTATCGACAGAGGGGAAGAAATTCGAAGCAGATGTACATTTTAACCACGATTTTTATGTTTTATATTTTATACTTTTAGATTTTTATATTTTCAGATTTTTTTTATATATTTTTTTACACGTAGTTTTCCACTTCCAAGAAACAGAAGCCTCAACTCCGTCAAGATGGAATGATATCGTATATGCCACGCACGTCGAAAACTTTTTGTTCCAAAATTGTAATATTTTCCCCAGTTTCAAGTTATATTTAAGTAAAACAAAATAGGCAAAACAAATAATAAATTCATTACTTCTCAATAATTTATATCCGGTGATATACTGTCGAGTTCGAAAAGAAAACGACGAATTATTGTATACGGCTCGGTCACTCGTTATGGTCCGCAATCGGTTGCCAGCGCAAGCGGTTGGTACTCTTCTTTTCCCTAAGTAGTGACATTTGGATAGTTATGACAATAATCTGGACATCGTGGACAATTATCTGGATTTTGTACAACGACAGGAACAATTTGCAACAAGTATAATATATATTGATCATATATATAATATAATATATAACGTAGCAAACAAACGTAATACAAATAATTTGGAATTGGTGTTCCAAGTATAATATATATAATATAATATATAACGTAGCAAACAAACGTAATACAAATAATTTGGAATTGGTGTTCGTTGAGATTTTTCATGTAGGAAACACGCGCATCAACGTCGCAATTGGTTGATGGCCCAGCGAAGGAAAATCCAGCGTTTCACGGTTAAATGGCACTCGCGTGCCACGTTTCCTTTCCCCATTGAATCGTTTATCACCGTTAATAAGCCGCGTTCCGCCAACTTCTGATTAACATTCCTGGCCGCTCGCCATTAGTTCGATGGAACTAATCACCGATACGCGTGCAACCGGCGCTCTGTTCCTCGACAGAGAAACGCGACGCGCCGCGTGCCATCGGGAATTCCATTGACCGGCAGAAAGCGTGGAGCCGGCCGTAAATGGGTTACGTAATTCGTTGACGAATGGCACCCACGAATTTCCCCCGTTTCTGTCAGTTTCGGCTAATATCCCAATTAGCATTTCTGCTAAATACTCGAATTCACACGGCTCTCGATCTCGCACGATAAATGTAAAATTCATTCACTCGTTCTTTCGATTCGCACAAAAATTAGCGCGTAAGACGAGACAGCTCGCCCATAGGATAGTTTAAAAGTGACGCGTCTAGATTTAGTTTTTATTTCAGTTTCTTTTCGATCACAGATAAAATAGAAATAATATTTATTTGATGACAATGCTAGTGATAAAACAATAGATAGTTAAGACAAGATAAAGAACACAGATTAACCACTTGAATGAACGATATTTTTTTTTTTTTAACAAATCCGATTGATCGTTTTGCAGTAGTATAATAATTGCAAATAAATCACTTGATACGCGTAACCTCGCCGATGAAATCGATCGAGATACAAAACTGCTTATTGTCAAAAGGAACAGCATTGTGTCAACGTTCAATGAAAATCTGAATTATCATAGCAAGAAACAGAAGAATAGGAAATGGTCACACGATCGATTTTGAAGCTGAGTATTATATAGCGTAGTGTAACAAAAACACATGGCGGTGCAGACTTAGATCAATACACTCTAAAAAAATTATAACCTGTTAACGATATGAAAACTAATTGTTTTTCAACATCTACTCGTACTTGTTACTTCATAAGTCTATATAAGTGTTTCGCAAAGGTCACCGGCTGGTTTCGCACGAAAAATGCCGATATTGCGCCGATTAGCTGGAACGAAGTGAGGAAAACTGCACGGACCACAGAGAGTTAATGTTATATCAAGGACACGAGGAGAATTCTGCGAACGAGCGAATCTGTTGGACGTGGAGGTTTCCGTTAAGTTCAGTGCAGGTCGGTGACGTTTT